ACATTTGTTTATGGCTAAAATGTCTACTTCTGAGATAGTTGTAACATGTGGGATTTAAACGTCAGAGCTGCATTCTGAATCACTGTATGCTTGAAAAGCATCCTGTGTAGGTGTATTTCATAGTACCACCCTGTTGTATGATGTGAAAAACCTGGTGCCTCCTGTCTTCCACCTTCCATGTTCTTGGCCCTGCCTCTTGGAATAAGGCTGGAAACAGTTGATGCAACTATCGAGAGAACAAAGGCTCTGTTTCACAACATGCAAGCCCACTTACCCATTCCAGTATGGCAACACACATTTTTTTTTTTTTTTACTTCTGCCTCTGTGATCTATTCTAGTCTCAAATACTTGCATCCTTTCCGGATCCAAAAATCCTAAGAGAATCCAAGGGACTTGAAATTTTAGCCATCTGTTCAGTGTGCTTGTAGCTGTTGTGAAGCTTCCATTTGTTACCTAGTGAGGATGGATGTTGCCTATTCAACAAAGGGCTCATTCAGTGCCAGCTCAGTGGGTTGGAGAAGGAAGGTTGTGCAGATGAACACGATGCAGAGTGCATGTGGGTTTGGGAATGTTGGGAATCTCATTAAAGCACCCAGTGCTGCACAGTTGGGTACTGCATGCTGATTTAGGTTTCACAGTAAGCCAAAAACGTTGAGTCGTTACCATTCTTTTAACTGCATTGTATCCTTGGAGCCTAGTTAATTAGTGGGGTTTTTTTTTTTCTTCTCATTTAGATACAGCACACAGAAGACATGGAAAATGAAATAGATGAGCTGTTACAGGAATTTGAAGAGAAAAGTGGAAGGACTTTTCTTCATACTGTCTGCTTTTATTAAAGCACATCTGTCTCCTAGGCCTTAATACAGATGAGAGAAGCATGTGTTTAAAGTTCTGATTATACTGTATTTTCCTGGAAAATGAATATTGATTTTTTTTGTTTTGTTCAAGACTCCTCTTCAGTGGTTGTTTTTGTTTCAGGTATTCTGTCACAGGCAGGCAGAAATACCAGTTTAATTGTACATATGCAAAGTATGCACAAAGGCCACCTATTTAAAAATGAAAATCAAGATTTCCTTTAAATCCTACTTCAATTGTTACGAGTAGGCTTTTAATTATAAAGAGAGTATTTCTTGAATATAAGTTTATAATGTATTTTTCCAGCTTACGAATTTATTTTATTTCAGTTGTGCTTTCTTTTTTTTTTTATTATTATTTTAATGTGACAGAATGGCTGAACTATGTGAAGATATGAATGGAACGATGACAAATGAGTTATCTGTATATTATTAGATATAAGATTGGAAGCATCCAATAAAAATGAAAAACCTGCAAGTTTGTCTGTTTCTGAAATAGAAGCCAAGCAAGCTGTGACTGCTCTGTAAGGACTCGATGGGAGCTGGAAGAGCTGCTCTGCCCCTGCTTTGGAGGTGCTGGTTGTTTGGGCACATTCCCTTGGTTGTTGATCCCGTGTTGAACCCAACTGAACTGCTTTCTCCATGTGAATTAGGGCACCTTCACTAAATCTTTTTTGGGTCTTAATTGCTTTGGAATGACTGTATGTGAGACTGAAATATAAGGGTGGAACTGTAACTGTAGCTGTCAGGGCCCAATTGTATATATGTCTTCTATAAGGAAGAAGGGGAGAAACTGCAAACTCCGCTGTTAATAGAAATGGTTTGAAGCTTTGTTAACTGAAATGTCTTTTGAATGGAAATATTCTCTGCACATACAGCAATAATAAACGTGTTTGTCACAGCCCGCAATCCAGACGCTGAGTGTGTACGTATGAGCAGAGCAGAGCAAAAGCTCTTTGTGCAAACTGGTAGGAATTAAAAGCACCGAGTTAAAAAGTGAAATCAGACCGAATTATAGACGTTCCCAATGTGAATGGTAAATCGTTGTTGCTTAAAGGCAAGAGGAGATCTTAAAAGCTGTTTTGTTAAAGGAAGCCATGAAGGATTTGGAGCAAGTGAAGTCTGCGTGCTCTTTAGTGCTTTGAGAAGTGGAGGCAACTTTAATGTGCCAGAAGTGAAGTGCCATGAAATGGAGCTTGGGCTCCTGGCTTCACGCCTGCCTTCTCACTGCCCTCTGACAGCTCAAGGGAATGGCTTGGTGCTTCGTAAAGATGCTGCTTTTTCTTTGCCTGAAGCTGATGCTGGGGGCTGGCTCTGATTTTTAGGGTGATGCTACTCTTTGAAGTTGCTCATCTCAAAGTCTGTTGATCCCAAAGGGATCCTCCTGCCCATTCCTAACCACCCTATGCGAAAGCCACAACCTGCTGGCTTGCTCAGCGTTCTGGCCAGTGCCCAAATGGGTCAGAGCATCATTCACAGGGTGCAGGAATGTTTTGTATCCCTCAAACACCTGCACTGCTTTTCTTAGCTGTGAAAAAAAGAGGAAAAATCCTGTGGAGAACGAATGAAGACATCAGAATGCTTTGGGACGGGGAGTTCAAGCAGCAGCTCCCATATGGTGTGCAGGGTGGGTTTCTATGGGTTTGTCCTGTCCTGGTTTGTTTCAGGAGGCTCTCTGAAGGATTTCATTCAGCCTCCTCTGCTTTTCTGCTCCGCTGTCTGATGCCACAGCTTGTTGCCATGGGGATCCATACAGCCCCAGGAGGAGAAGGGCTCTGTAGGGACTGAACTGCTTCAGCTGATCCCTTTAAAGATGTATTTCAAGCAAGCATGGTGCTGAGAGTCTGGAGCAGAGTTCTCTGTGCAGCATCAGGACTGAAGCCTTCGCTCTTTGTTTCTGTGTCTGGAAATGTTTTCTATTTTCAGCTGAACTCATTCTATACAGAGCTCTTTGGGTTGTGCCTGCTGGGCACAATGCACTTCTTTGGTTCGGCTGATAGGAGATTTCTACTATGAAAGAGAGCTTTCAGCTCTGCTCTGCTTTCCCATTGGGTTGGAACTGGATGATCTTTAAGGTCCCATCAAACCCAAGCCATTTTTATGAGTTGATTCTGCTTTTCTTTTTCACCCAGGTGATGCTGTTGGGCTGCGTGTGGTGCAGGACAGCCTTTCCTCAGCCCTCAGTGCTGCTGGATGCACCAAGCTGAGGATCAATGATTTACAGCCCAGTCAACGTGTTGCTAAGGCAGACTATCCAGCTCCAACTTTTATTTCTATTGCACGTGGGTACTTAGGTGAAAGTGCTGGGAAAACAAGTGCTGGGACCAACATGGGAGCACTGAAAGGAATGGGAATGCCTGGAGTCCCATCTCCCACTGCTGGCTGCTGAGCCTTGGGAACCTCTGTACCATGGGTGGGAGCAAAGCTGGGTGTAATGGGGCCTGTGCATGGAGAGCCCAGCTTAGAAAATGCTTCACATGCGTGGTTTCATTAAAAAAAAAATAATAAAAAATCATCTGCAATGCAATCTGTGCTCTAATTTGAGGACACCGTTTAGTGATTTTAATTGTGTGACAGTATTTTGGTATTTCCAATACCCAGTAGTAGGTTAATGACTGTTCCTTGAAGAATGGAGTTTATATAACACAAGTCATTACATAAGGAGGCTGATTGTGGCCTGAGGAGCTGAAGGAAAACAAAAGATGCAAGAATGCAAACCCTCAAAGCAGCAAACGGTGTCGGTGGCCCCGAGTGCCAACAAGGTGATGATAACCTTGAGTGATGTGCTGTGGCTGCTGCCGGGCTGTGTGAGCTGCCCATCCCTATCGCATGGTTTAATGGCACGACCGACCAACCCAAACAAAACTTGTTACCTGTTCACCGAGCCTTTTTTTTTTTTTTTTTTTTTTTTTTTGCAGGAGAACCCAAACGCGGCCCACAACTCGACGATGTAAAACCATGGGGAGAATCCAGAGCACGACCTTCCCTCGGATCGTGCGCTCGGGAGATGCTAGGACGTGCGACTTCGTGGCATTTCTGCTCTCCCGCACCGTCGCGGGGTGGGAATGCGGAGATGCGGGGCCGGGCCGGGACCCCCGCGGCTGCGGGGCGGCAGGGAGAGCCTCGGGACAGCGTTCGGGTTGGGATCGGAGCGAGGAAGACCCGGGAGGGAGGAAGGGCGGGGTGGGGATGGTGCGGGACTGGAAATGCGGCCAAGCGCCGCTGCCGGGGCTCCGCTCGGGAAAACCGTGCGGCTGCCAGGCGGGGGGAAGCCCGGCAAGGGCAGGTCCGCAGCGCTGCCGCTCGAGATGAGCCGCTCCCGGAGCAGCGCGTCCCCGCCTTAGGTAAAGGGCCGCGGATGGGAGGGAGGGAAGGAGGGGAGGGAGCAGGGGAGGGGGCGGCCGGCCCGGCGGGGAGCAGCACCCCACAGCCCGCCCCGCCGGAGCCGGAGCCCGAGGGGCTGCGGGCATTGCCCCGGGGCGGGAGGGGGGGAGGGGGGGGAACAACGGAAGGGG